GGGGGCGCCGTCGCCGTTGGGAGCAGGGGTGTCTGCGTGGCGAGACCCCCACGGCACCGTTGGGAACTGTGTGTCTGGAAGGTGAGAAGCTCCCCGTGTGGCTGCGTTCCGTGGGGAACCCCTCCCGCCTTCGTGTCCTGAGCCCAGGAGGGAGCTGTGACCGGGAAGCAGGCCAGTGGCTGGGAGTGTGGGTCCTGCTGGCCTCCTCCTGCCCGAGGGCCACCCAGACGCGGTTTTGTTTAATTTACAGATTATTGACTTCAGAGAGGAAGGGAGAGGGGAAGAGAGAGAGAGAGAGAGAAACATCGATGATGAGAGAGAATCATGGACCGGCTGCCTCCTGCACGCCCCCTACTGGGGGTCGAGCCCACAACCCCAGCTTGTGCCCTGACCGGGAATCGAACCGTGACCTCCTGGTTCATAGGTCGACGCTCAACCACTGAGCCACACTGGCCGGGCCTTCCCTACGAAGTCCTGTGACTTGGTTTCCCTGCAGAGTGAGGATGGGCCGCTGTGGGCTCCCCGTGGGCCAGAGCGGCAGCAGGAGAGTGGACAGCGCGTCCTGGGGCTGAGCAGACGGCTGTCTGTCCCTCCCCGCTGGGCCCAGGGCTGCGGCCAGGAGAAAGCAGGGCCTTTTAGTAGAAGTGGGTGCTGGGCAACGGGACAAGGTTCCACATGAAAGTGTCCAAACGACTGAGGGTTCCAGACCCCTGTCCGCCTCCCTGGGCAGCCCGCTGAGGGCTGGCCCTGCGGCCTGTGCTGCGTGCCCCCCCCCCCCCTCCCCCGGCAAAGGGGAGGTTTTACAGTTACGACCCGGGAGGCACAACAGGTGGAACCTGAAACGGGCGCCGGGAGGCAGGTGTGGGGGCCCCGGCTCCGTCGCATCGGGAGCCTCGTCTCCCCTCGCTGTGCAGACGTGGTGGGGCCGGGCTCCTCGGGTCTGCAGAGCCCGGCACACGGTCCGGACCTTAGTCCTGCCGCTTGGGGCACACGAAAACGAGGTGTCTTTGAGTTGAGTTTACCTTTATTGGTAAATTTAACTTAAAAGCAGCTAAACTTGCCTGGCCGCGTGGCCCAGTGGCTGAGTGTCGACCTGTGAACCAGGAGGTCAGGGTTCGATCCCCGGTCGGGGCACATGCCCAGGTTGTGGGCTCCATCCCCAGTGTGGGGCGTGCAGGAGGCAGCCGGTCCATGATTCTCTCCCATCACTGATGTTTCTCTCTCTCCCTCTCCCTTCCTCTCTGACATCAATAAAAATATACGTATTTTTAAAAGCAGCTGAACCTGAGTCGGATGCCGTGTCAGTGAGGACACTCGCAGTCTCCCTGGAGGGCCTGCGGGGCCTGGTGGACCCGGGGTCCTGGCTGTGCTGGGAACTGGGCTCGGGGCGCTGCACCCGGCACCCTCGCTCGGCGTGTCCTGGTGGCAGACGCTCCTCTGTGGACAGTAACGTCGCGAGCGGCTCTTTGTGCCGGAGTCGAGCCCATGCGTCCTGCCCCAGGCACGATTCCGGCAAAGTAATACCTCCCGCAGCTTAAATTCTTGCTTGAGGTTAATTTTGAAAAATACAAGTTACTCTTTTCCTCCCTGAGTCCGTGGTGTCTCTTCAGATGCTACAAAAAGCAGAGCGAATCCTGGGGTGCCAAACGGCCCCAGGGGGTGGGGGCGGACAGCAAAGTGGCCGAGTTAGGGAGACTGGTTGTTTCAGGGTTAGGTCCGTGCTCCTGGCTCAGATGAGGGTCCGTTGTCGTAATTTGATCAGTTTCTGGACTTTGTTGCCTCTCTCCTTGGTTTCTCAGCACCCTGAAGGGTAGAGAAATGGGGGCACTGACCCCCCAGAACTCACCCAGAGATCCCGGGTGACGAATGGCCAGGCGGCCTCGTGTGTCCCCAGGACGCGCCTCGTCCCCGTGTCGGCCTCGTCCCCGTGTCGGCCTCGTGGAGACTCAGGGCCAGGTGTGCCCGACCCGACTGCCCACTGACGAAGTGGGCTCGTGCCCATCCGC